CAGCAGAATAATAAGGGATGGATTCCTGCTTTTCTCCAGCTGGATAAATCATATGTCTCTGTTACTGAAATCAGTAGTAGAAATGCTTTTCATCATTTCATCTCTTTGTTGTAGGTGTTATCTGACACTTACAGAAGCTCTGTACCTGAAATTTGGAGGAGCACCTGCAGGACCAGCAGGACCAGGCAAAACAGAAACAACAAAAGGCCTGGGAAAAGCACTAGCAATCCAAACTGTAGTGTTTCAGTTGCTCTGACCAGCTTGACTTTATGACAATGGGAAAGTTTTTCAAGGGATTAGCCAGGTACAAGGAAATGCTGCATGTCATTATCAAGGAGTGGGTAGGGTACAAGGATGCTAGCCACTGGGAATTGCTGGGTATTTTTCATAGCAGCCCAGAAGAACAAGCAAAGCCCTAGTAAGGGCATTGAGCCAATTAAAAAAAAAAAAAGAGAGAAAAAAGAAAGAAAAGATAAAAAGAGATCCTCATTATTTAAGACAAAATTAAAATGCTCTGTACCAATCCATTATTAGACACCTGTGCAAATGTTAGCAGCTCGGGCCTTTGTTTTAATATCTTAAACATTGGACTGAGATTCAGCCCACAAGCTGCTTAATCTTAAGAAAGAGAGAATCTGCTGAGTGTATCCAAAATTGAGCAGCCAAGAGCTCTATGCCCTGAGGGATCCTCTCAGAGAAGCTTCTCTTCTCTACATTTCAAACAGACCTGGTCCAATTAGTCTGTGGCACACTGGTGAATCTGAATTAGTTACTCCAACAAAAGCTGATACTCTTCTCAGATGTTTTCTTTGTAGGCAATTTAACTTCTTGTTTAAACCATGCCTAGTGGGAAGATCACCTTCCTCATATACACACTTCCCGCTTGATATACAGTCTTCCAAGCTCTGAAAAATGGACTTAAGAGGTGTCTAAATTTTATCTGCTACACTTATAGCTCAGGCTCAAAACAGGAATTCAACATGACACCTCTTTCAATCCCAAATCTGTAACATGCAGAATTTGGCCCAGGCTGTAGGATCAGACAGTGCCATGGTCTTGCAGAGTCCATGTACCTTCTCTCTCATAACGTAACATGGGATGTATAGTCAGGGTGAGGGGCTACAGCCCCTTCCTGGTACCAGTACACTGTGGATGTGTCACTACCTGCTATGTGATGTTAGAGGCCTTTTCGGTTCACTTCTTATCTCTGTGCTGCCTCCCCAGTACGTGGATTTATAATTTCTAGATCTAGCTGAACTTTTGACTGCAAGTCTGCTCCTATGTGATGTTCTCGACTCCATTTTTTCTTCCTTGCCCAGCTCTGGCGTGTGGGTTTGCTTTGATAAGTTCAACCACATTGATATCAAGGTGCTATCTGTGGCGGTCCAGAAGATCACAACCATTCAGAAAGCACAGCAGCAGAGGGGAAGTGATGAGCATGTGAATGCAATGGCAGACAAAAAAATCTTCACTTTAGCTAGTCTAGACAAGTCCTTGTCTTTGCGTGCATCTTTACGGAGGGCTGGCTTCACTGCTCAAGGGCAACTCAGACAGATGTATTTGAGCTTGGAGAGGCATGAGTAATGCCCTAGCAGTGGCATCACACCAGACCGTTACACAGTCAGCATCCTGGCTGGGCTTTGTAGCTTCATCCTAGTCTCTGCTGCCATAGTTGCCTACACTCTTACAGGCTCAAGTACGTCCCAGCTTGAGCTGCAGTGCCAGCAGACTTTGGTGTGGGAGACACTCTGATACAAATTTACTGAGCTGTTACAAATTGGAGCTGTGATAAAGGCAGCCAGTGTTCTGCCATGAGCTGCTCAGCACCACGTTAGTCTAAATATGTTATGCAAGCTTTAGCAGATTCACAAAACTCAATATGCACAGAAAAAATGCAACACACAGAGTTGCAATGTGAAGTGAATTGTTGGCTTTCCATGGAGTCATGACAGCTGAGCTGTCAGCCAGTCTAGCAGCCAGCCTGTGCTTTGTTTTCTGGAGACTGAGGGGGTTAAGACCTGAATCTCCTTGACTTTGGCTTGACTTCTGCATTACTTTATCCCCCATCTGAAATTACTACCTACACAGCTTTAAGAAGGATTTAGGTTTCTCTTTGTCCTCTCTGCCACACATTAATTCAGGTCCAAACTCTACTGCAGAATAAATGGAAAGATGTTTGTTTACAGCTGGAATGATAGAAGTCTGATCAAGAGAAAAAAAAAAATTACTGTATCAGTAAGTCTTCCAGGACCCTAGTTTCTAAAACAGGGAGAAATATTGCTGGTAATACTGGATTCCTGCAGCGGAACCAGACTTGAGTCACTACAGTTCTGGGCAGCTGTGTGTGTCTGTGCTTGATAATTTAACTACTGAAAGCCATTGTTTTCTTCTTGGAAGATTCTGCTACATTATTTAATTTGCAGGTCAGGCTCAGTTCTTTGAGGATAATCTTATTTTTAATTTTCTAGGTGGATCACTTTGTGTTTGAAGGCAGAGAGATCCCACTGGTCCCATCCCATGCAGTCTTCATCACAATGAATCCAGGTTATGCTGGGTGTACTGAACTGCTTCATAACCTGAAGGTAAAGAGGACGGACTGCATAGACAGGAAAAAGAAGGCCAATACAGGTGCTGGATGTTACCCAGACCATCAGTGTGTCTCTGACAAGGGTTAGGATGTGATGATTTTGGAAAGTTTCTAGCATCATTTTGAGATGTGAATCACATCTGTAAGCAAGTGGCACTCCTCAGATTGCAGTCTGCAGGGATGCTACCCTCACAGGTGCCAGACACACTCATGCTGTGTCCTCTGAACAATCTGAGGTAGATACTCAGACTTTTCAGATCACTGGAAAAAGCAAGAAAAGAGTGTTGTGATTTTGTGTTGGAACTGTATGTTTTAGGCTCTCTTTTGTCCTTAGCTGTGATAGTCACAGATTACCCCATGATTGCTGAGATCTCACTCTACTTCTTTGGGTTTAATGAAACCAAACTCCTTGCAGAGAAGATCATCACAACATTCAAACTGTTGTCAGAGCAGCTCAGCACCCAGGTAGATGCTTTTATGTCCTTGAGTGTTTTTTAAATGCGAGAAAGCCTTGGCACAAAGTACCTAGATGGTTCTTTTGGTGCCTTGTGATAGTGTATCACAAAAGGTTCACAATACCCATTCTTCATCTGCCTTCTTCCTCTCTAATTCTCATTTATTCTCCTGTGGCTGGACTTGCATTCATATTCTGTCCTAGTTAAGATTACAATGGCAGGACAGGTGAACCAAGCAGCCCTACCTACTTCTTCCTCCATATAGGATTTTTCATCATCCAGTTATTCTCATCTTCCTCACCCATAGTCTGTACAGCTGAGGTCTAGTGGGTTGTTTGAAGGATCCTGAGAGCAGACTTGGATGCAGGAGCAGTTGTTCTGAAGGCATAACTCTCATTTTTTCCTTTCTTACCTGTGGAGTGCATGCATAGGTTCACTCTTTTTTAGGTGATGCCCCTGTATCTAATTATGCTGTTTCCTTTGTGCCTTTCCCAGAACCACTAATGATTTGAGATGAGAGCTGTGAAGACTGGCAACCTCAGAAGAGAGAGTTCTACTATGACTGAGGTAAATGTGCTCATACTTTACACTGTTACAGACTTATGTGGCCTTTTCTACGGCCACCTAAGAGATGTGGAATTTTTGAAGTTATGAGTTCTTAAATCTTTGCAGGAGCTGATCTGCCTTCTGGCTATCAGGGATGACAAAGTATCCAAATTCCTGCAGGGTGACCTCAAGCTCTTCAGTGATACTGCCTCAGATTTATTTCCCAAGGTCAGAGAAGAGCCCGTTGATGATGGCTTCCTGGAAGAAGCCATCCACAAATCTTGCATCAAAGAGAATCTGAAAGATGTTGATGGTAAATGGAAAGGCTCTCCACAAGCTCCCTCTGGGCCTGGGCTTTTAGTCCAGCTCCCTGTCCTAGGAAAGAGACAGCTGGTCCCAGACCCACTCCACATCATGTTCCTCTACAGGTTTTGTGACTAAAGGCATCCAACTCTATGAAACCACTGTGGTTCATCATGGCCTTATGCTGATGGGACCAACAGGTTCTGGCAAGACAAAGATATGGTTGAAAGACTGTGCTTGCCCCAGCAAACCATTGCCTGCTTAGTGATGGAGGGGGTTAAGTTTCACAGAGGACACACACACCAGCATTTCTGGCTTCTCTGGGATGGAAATCAGGACACCAAAGTGCTGCCGTTTTGTATTGATTTATAGCCATGGAAAAGGATACTACTAGCTCACTCTTTCACGCTGGGAGATTAGGCCAAAGCTAATTAGCTCTGCTGCAAATTTCTAAAGCTGAGACATACTTTGACATCTCAAGATGCTTTAGGCCGCTTGCATGGGAGATCTGACTTCCTCCCTGCCTGCATCTAGAGTGCTTTATTTCTGCAAGTGCGGCCAGCCACCTCCTCAAGGTGATGTTATCCTTCCCTGTGGCTCCTTTCTCACTGTCTTTGGAATGCAATTGTTGTGAGAGCAAGTGGCTTTGTTGTTATGGGAGCCATGTCAGTTAACTTTATCGCTCTCCTGCTTTTGCAGAGTTATGAAGTCCTGGCAGCTGCAATGACATCACTGAAAGGTCAGCCTGCAGCCAGTGGTGGGAATTCCGAAGCAGTCAGCTACTTTGTGCTGAATCCCAAATCCGGCACAATGGGCCAGCTTTATGGAGAGTTCAACTTGCTAACGCATGAGTGGTAAAGTACAAAACCTGCTTTCCTTCCTTCCAGATGGGAAATGCTTTTCTTCTGGTGTTGAGCTTCTTTTCTTCAAAGCTGAGAACTGTTTAGGGTAGTGGCATAAACCCAGAAGCAATCAAGTCCTTATCCTCACCAAGCTACAATAGCCAGTCACAGCAATTTAAGCTGACATCTTTTATTGTGTGCTTGGCCCGGCTGCCAGCACATGCCCAGACAGTTACTGCAGCTCAGCTCCCAGCATTAACTGCAGAACAAGGAGTAATTCAATTGCTTTGGAGCACATGCCCCTGCTCTAAGATACAGCAGCTTAAAAACATTTGCTTTGCTTCTGAAGAAAAGTGACCTCTCTACTGCACACTTGAATTGTTCTGTATAAACACACTGGTGGCCTTGAATGATGAGGAATGACTTTCAGGCATTCCTGCTGCCAGGGTTCCTGCTTGCTTACACGGTTTAGAAGCAAGAACCAGTAGCCCACTTGCCCTCTTGATGGTCAGGTCCTACTGCTTGTGTTTCCATATATGACCTGAGGTTGACTTTGTAGCTCACTTTATCCAGAAGCTAAGGTGTGAGAAGCGATGTGAATCTTCCTTTGGCCCTGTCAGCCACCACTTGATTAAGAACAAAGCTAAAGACTGTGTTCTGTAAAATGAGGGAAATGAAATAACTATGAAGCTAACTGCCTCTAGGAAAAGTGCAAACAAGTGTTACTGATGCCAAAATCCAGAGCTTCCCAACCTGGGCTTTACTGAAGGTCATTTTATAGGTTATTCCAGTTAAGCTCAACAGTTTGTTTATGATGTGGTTCTACCCAAGGGCAGCACACCGGCACATCAACATGACAAAAGAAAAATACAGCAGCCATATAAAATGTATTTATACACAAATCCATCTGTTCTAATTGGCTGAGCTTTAGAACAGACTATTTTCCCTTGATCTCATTTACAATACCCTGGAATTCACTAGCGCTATTAAAATAACCAATAATTGTTTAATAATGGATGTAGAATCCAGTGCCTGAACAGAAATTATACTCTGTATTTCCATGCACAGATTAAGTTCTTGCTGTCAACAGCCAGCATTCCTTGTGTGTGTCTGCTCTTCTGTTCACCCACTCCAGCAGCACCTGGATTCACAGGCAGCTGAGGATGGGGAGCTTCAATTATTAAGAGGATAGAATCATGCTCTTTAGCCTGGATTCACCTGAAACATCTGAATTAGCAGATTAACTGCCCTGAGCCTCCCTTTATGCTTGGAAGAGAAAAGGAGGTATCTTCAGAGAGCAGATTACCTGCCTATGACCTGGATGCTAGCAAGGCCTCTTTGCTTTTCACTGAGGACAGAGGTGTTAAAGGGAAGTTTGACATTTTATAGTTAGATGACATGAAGGCTGAGATGTACACCTCAGTAAAAGAAAGAATGAGATGTACCATTATGCAGCTCATCAACAAGTGAGACACCGGTATCCTTGGGCACATGAAACAGAGTAAGGTTCTGGTTCTGTTGCTGTATATGGTGGAAGCTTTGCCATCACTTCCATCAAAACCAGAATGGGCCAAGCATTGCCTTCCTCACACCTTTCAGGACAGATGGGATCCTTTCCTCACTTATTTGGCGAGCAGCTGTAGCCACTGACATGAGCGAGAAGTGTTATGTGTTTGATGGGCCAGTTGATGCTTTGTGGATTGAGAACAGGAACACGGTGCTAGATGACAATAAGAAGCTGAGTCTTGGCTCAGGGGAAATCATCAAGCTGTCAGAGGTAACTCATCCCTCCTGTTTTTACTGCCTGTTGTCTGTTTTCCTTCCTCCCACTTGGAACAGACTTGCCTTTTGCTTTCCACTTGATGTCTGTGATGAACTTGCATGGAAATTGGTGGCTCAGTAGCAGGCCTGAGTTGGCCAGACCTCTGCTGTGCTGCACAAACACAATAAAAAGAGGGCTCCTGCAGCAAATGGAAAAATTTCAGCCTCACCAAATTATGCTGAAAGATGTAACAGAAGTTACCAAGTCCTTATCCTCGTTTCTTTTCTTTTTCAATTTCCAGAGCATGACTATGGTATTTGAAGTCCAGGGTCTGATAGTTGCTTCCCCTGCCACAGTCTGCTCTGCCGTGGTTTATCTGGAACCCAGCATTTTGGGGCTGGAACCCTTCATTGAGTGCTGGCTGCAAAAAACCCCACGCATCATGAAGCCCTTCGTACAACAGCGAGCATCTCTCCTCAGGAGACTCCTCAACGTGAGTTACTGTGTGCCCTTCCAGCCTTTCTGTGGCTTGAGGTTTGTCAGCTCAGATACCAGCCAGTCCAGACTTGTCATGGCCTGGATTAAAACACCGTCGTGGGAACACTTCAAAGTACCAGTATACGAACTGATCTGTGAATTTCCTGGGTTTTAATAGAGGTTATTCACTGATCCCTGTAGGTGCAACTTAGTCTGCTTGGTCATTATAGTTTGTTTTACTGAATTTTAAAATTATTTTCTGGACAAAAACATCCCTGGTGCAGCTCCATTGCTTACAGTGGAGTAACTCCAGGGAGAACATTGTAAGTACAAGTCTTATTATTTCTGCTCTGCTCCTAAGCCGGTATTTTAATGAATAACTTGGAGCTGTAAAAGAAAGCTCTAAAGGGAGAAAACCATTTAACAGCAGTAATGCACAGAACCAAAAGGCAGACCCAGAGGTTTCTTGGGGTTAAGATCGAACCAAGGGGTTTGACTTGCTTCTCTCCAGTCAAAACAGTGGTACTCGCAGTGGGAAATGGCAGCATTCCGAGTCATATCCTCTCTCCTAAACATAGCCTGCAGGGAGGCGGGGAGAAACTAGAACCCTAAAAGGTAAAAAGCAAGGTCAAATGTGTTGGATGATGACACTGAGCTGTTCCTGTCTCTCCTTATAGGAGGCCATCGTCTTTGTCCGGAGGTTTTGTGAAGGAGATAATTGCTTCAGCAGCCAGTAACCTCACCAGGAGCCTCCTCATGCTCTCGGAATGTTCGTTTCAGCCTTTCATTCCCACTGAGGTAGGATTTTGCTACCTCTGTCACTTGTGCCTGTAAGACTTAAGGGTACTAAGTCATGCAGAGAGTTAGTCACCAGAGAACAAGGTCTTGGTGCAGAAAGGTCATGCCATAGCTCGTCTACATGGCAGAAGATAATACAGCATCCTCCAAAGCACAAGTAAACCTGAAAGGATTATGCTTTGCCCACTGAAAGAGCAAAGCTAAGCTCCGTGCCTACCAGGCCGGAGGGAAGAAGTTAACTTTTTTTATAGCAAAGAGAATTGAAGAATGAATGGAAAGCAGAGAACAGAGCTAAGCAACGATGTACTTCAGATTGCAGGTCCTTTGAGAATTTGTATTTAAGAAGGATGGACAATTTTCAAATTAAAAACCAAAGACTAAATTCTTCTTCCAGCTCCTGTTGAGTGACATTAGTTCAGCAAGGGGAGTCTTTCAAGTACACCAATGAAACAACAAGTTTTAATCCACAGAATGCATTAACAAGGCCACTGAAAAACTGGCTAGAAAAGCTATGTAGAAGCTGGATAGAATTATGAGCACATTAAGAAGGTTTTTGTGTACTTTAACCATGTCTAAGTCTTTTACTTCTGCTCTTCTCTGGTTCTCAGGGAATCAAGATGATTCCCCAGGAAAAGGCAGCTCATATCAGAGAGCTGATTGAACCCTGGTTTATATTTGTCTTGATCTGGAGCATGGGTGCTATTGGAGATTCCCAGGGTCATATGGCCTTCAGCATGTGGCTGAGGGAGAAGATGGCAAAGGAAGAGGTGGCTAAAGGAAAAACATATCCTCTCTCATTATAGAGGAACTGGTAATGAGGAATGGGAGTCAGAGCTGCTTGAATGCCTGGAGAATTCGGGTGGTCTTCCTCTTGGGATCTTGTGTGCCACATCTACCTCAAACTTCCAGGGACTGCTGGAGCTAGAAGATCTGGAAGAGAGACCTGACCCCCTTCTGGCCTGGGCAGCATCCCATCAGTAAAGTCTTACTTGCAATAGTGCAGATCGTCCTGTGCATTCAGCTGAGTAGCAGCCACCTTCACCACAGCTTATTCTCACAGATCCAATTACTTTTCCAAGAAGAAGGACTGGTTTATGACTATGAACTGTACTTAGCTTAGCTGTGCTGCACATGATCTGGATGAAGACATCATTAGCAAGGTAAAATAATTCACTTTCAAATCCAAGCTGGGAAATTTGGAATTAGGGACTGGGAAGCAACAGTCCTGCAGAATTTGGTAGGATTTTTCATCAAGAGCAAATAAAAAGAATGTTTGAAGTGAAACAAGCTTTTCATTAAAGGAAGAAGGCGGTTTCTTGCCCTCAGGGTTGTGAAGCAGATCTTGCAAGTCCGAGCCATGGGCTGGTCAGTTCAGACCTGAATGCCTCTGCCAGTACTCAGGAAAGTGAGGGCTCTACAAATGTGGCTGCTGGAGGAGGGCAGGGAAAGGTTTGTGTTAGAAAACAGAGCACAACAGCAGAATTGCTGTGTGCAGTGGAGTCTGGAGGAGAAGGAAGGCAGACAAATATGCCATCTTTTTCATGGGAGACAGCAGAGCAGTAGGGCATGCAACACCTATCTGCCTGACAGTCACCAGCCTCTGGGCTGAAATTAAAAAAAGAAAGAAAGAAAAAAAAAGACGAAAAATGCTTCCCCTTCCTGAAATCAAAGCAAAGTTAAAAGAGCCCTACATGAGTACCAGATGCTTACTGGAAGCTGCCAGAATCATCTCTCTGGGAAGGCCACATGGAGTGCTCAAGAATGTGCATTTTCTCAGTGTCCTCCAGCACACCCCTGACAAAACCTCTGTCTCACTTGTACAGCAGCGTCTGGGAGATTAGTCTGTGACTTGATTCTGGCACAAGTTGTCCATGCCTTGTACAAACCTCCATGTGCCTCTGAGTGCAACACAGGTGACAGCACCAAGTGTGAAGATAGGATCCCAGCTAAGCCTTCTGCCATGGAGGCACTTACAGAGTGGGTCAGCTTAGGACATAATTCCTGGTCTTATCAATATCGGAAGTGCTTCATGCCCCTTTGATCCCAGTTTTCAGAAGGGAGGGCAGTAATCTCTAACTCTTGGGCTATCTCCCTCCCAAAAGAAATGAGTCAAACACAGCATTGCCGTAGAGAAAGGTAAGGGTGGCAAGACTAGAGAGAGAGGCTGCAAACCTTGATTCCGCATCAGAATCTGAGCTACAGCACAAGGAGCTGGGACAGGCGGAATACAGCAGAAATAGTTTCCCATAGAAGATAGATGCAACTGCCCCCTTTAAACACACCTATGTCTTTCAGGTGTGCTGGGAGAAGAGTCTGGACCCTACAGTAAAAAATCACCATGGCTCCTGATACCAGCTTATGTGACATTGTTGTGCCTACAATGAACACAGCCCAAACGGCTCATCTGCTGGAGCTGTTGCTCACCAACCATAAGCCGGTACATGCCCAGCCTTGTCTTTGATTTTTTTGGTTCAATCTTGTTCTCATCAACAGGAGCACCTTTTCCTCTCCCAGTACAATCAGAAACTAACAGCTACCTGATACTTTGAAATTATTTCCCACTCCCACAGATACGTATTTCTCTGCTCAGAAGCTGTGCCTAAGCAACAAGAGCTCTCCATTCTGTCCCCAGGCACTGTGCTACTGCCCCAAAGGAATATCAGTGCTTACTTGTTCAATCAAAATGCAGCAATTGCTAGCTAGCCCATCAGCATCCCTCTTTACCTGTTTCTTACGGTTCCATTTCATACTTCTCTGGCTGGGTTCGTTTCCCATTAAGAGATCTGTTGAACAGCTGCCTTTACTGAAGAAGCGAGCCTTCTGTCACCTCCCAGCCTTTGAATGCTTAAGTGAGCAGTAACCTGCATTTCCTCCAGCAGATCTCAGAGAGCTGGGGAGCACAGAGTGTGCCTGTGGTTGTGCTGCATTGCCAGTTATGCTTCCAGGTTCTCTGCATTGGTCCCCCTGTCACAGGGAAGACTCTCGATTACATGCAAGTTTTAGAAGAGCTTCCACTACTTCCTGGTGTTTTCAGCACACACCTCTGCTAAACAAACCCAGGATCTCATTGACAGCAAACTGGATAAGAGACAGGTTTCATTTCTGTGTTTGCAAAGGCAGTATCCCTCAGCTCAGTGTCTCTGTCACCTGGGTCATTTAGTTTCATCCCAGGACCTGAAGTGGCCCCAAGCATGTACAGCTGTGGACGACAATTAGGACACACAGCAAATCTGAGCTGGGATTGTAAGAGCCAGTAATGACTTCATACAATGGCAAGAAAGTGAGAAGGATTAGTGAGGGTCTGTTCAAGTTGCTCCAATTCTAGTTATTCCAGAAATACGGCATTTCACAGAACAGGTGTTTACAAACGCTGATGTGGGATCTGTGTAGAAACTGATGAGAAACTATAGCTGCTGACCCCCAATCCCACTGCCCACAGTTACGAGCTTCTCCTTTGCCCCCAGGTCAGCCACTAGTTTGGTTTCCAACAGAATCATGAGCTCAATTTTTGCTTTTATTTGCACCCATTTATTCATTTACATTGTGCATAAACAGACACAATTTCACTCGTGTTTGGAAAGGAGCTGGTGCCCCAAGCACTGCTCTGGATTTTTTCCGTGCAAAGGCCCACGTAAAAAGGGTATGTGGAGTGTAAGAGTAAGGGTAGCTGAAACTGCTGACTCACAAAGCCTCTGGAGAAAAAAAATGGGTTTAGATCAAGTTAGGAGTACCTTTGCAACAGTTGTCCCATGTACTTACATGGCTTCTGTCCTTACAGGCAGAGGCGTGTGGGCCTCTAGTTGGGCAGTACTTCTTATTTTGTATTGATGGCTTGAACGTGCCCATGCTGGAGCAGTACGGTGCTCAGCTGCCCACGGAGCTGCTGCAGCAGTGGATGGACCACCAGGGCTGGTACGACAGGAAACAGATCAGTATGATCTGGGTCCTGTGCCTGATACTCTTGGCAAAAATTGGCCTGTTCACAGATACGCATACCTGCTGTGGAGATTTGTGTCAAGGGTTTTGAGCTACAACTTAGCATTCATTCCCACTTTTGCACTCTTCAAGGTACTTTTAAGAAGCTGATAGGTATTAATTTTGTCTGTGCCATGGGACCTCCTGGAGGGGGAAGAAATGCTGTCACTCCAAACTTCGCTACCTCTCCTTCACTGAGATGGAGGATAGCAGCAAGCAAACCACCTTCTCCACCATCCTTGGCAGCTGGATGGGTAAATTCTGCAGACAACTGCCATGGTCTCCTTGTGTTGCAAGCCAACCTGATGATAATGGAGGTTGGAAGGGGAGGAATAAGTACTGATAATCTGATCAAAGTATTGGAAGCTGGAACTTGCATTAGTTGCTTGAAGGTGCTTTTGGGAAAGTATTGTTTGACTCTTAGCAAACGGAGAGCTCATACGCTGTTTAGTCGTGGAGCCAAACTCTGCTGGTGCTGATCAGCAAACTTCAACTTTGGCTTTCACAGTTTCGTAAGGTATCCTGTAGTTTGGCTTTTCAAAGAGGATCTTTTTTTGTGATGAATGATGCAGATATCCTTCATCTCAGCAGGCAAAGCTGTAACTCAGCTTTTTTTGTCTTTTTCTAGATGGACTCCTAGGAGAAAGAAGTTACAGAGATCCAGTGTGTAAGTAAGAGCAGAAAGATGAGAGAGAGACTGTGAACAGAACAAGCTGATGGGCACAGCACGGCAGAGCTTACCTGTGCTTTCAGCTATCAGACACTTGCCCAGACAACAGCCTTCTGGGGAAGCAGAGCCTTCTGTTACTCTCCATCTGCTGCAGCCTGTGGACAGCTGAGCAGAGTGGATCTAAGCATGGTGCTACAGCAACCCAGAAAACAGGGTTCATTTGGAATGAAATGAGTCCTCTTATATTTGACAGGGTGGGAATTTAGGATCGTCTCTGCAAATGTGCCCTCATCTGCAAATCTGC